CTTCTCCATCCAGAATATCTTAGGTTTCATCCTACTCTTTTGCACACACTGTCATCAAGTATAGTTTTGAATGTTTCAGCACCCTGGTCTTTCCACTCACATGTACTTCTGCTCCCTTCATCCAGTTACTTCCTGTCTTAGCTTAAACGTCTCTTCCTCAAGGAAAGCTTCCAGATTAATAAGTCTCCCAGTTATCCCTAAATTGAACTTTGTTCATTGTCTATAGTATTACCTAAACTCCAAAGCTAGGAACCACAACTAGTTGGCCTAGTAATCATCTGTTGAGTAAGTAAAGAAATGAATGAATGACTATGTGAGACATCAGAAAAATCTGGGGAGGCAGGAAGTATTGGTAATTTGGACTTGGAAAAGGCTTCATTCACTGAGAACGGAGTGTCAATCATCTCTGCTCTGCAAATGAGCCAAGATCTACTAGAGGCATCAATCAGACTAAGAACAAGAATTTTTGCTGACAGGAGCTTTGAATCAGGAAGAGAATGTTTGTCAATGGTAGGATGTAATATAATATTGGTAATAGCTTAAAGTCCCAGAACAGTCTTGGTTTTAGGATAATTCAGTTCTAAAGTTAGTGTGTGAAGTGAAATTCACATGTTCAGTTTTATCCTTGGAAATCCCTTAAGTCATTCTTAAAATATTATATACAAGTTCTGTGTACACAGCATTAAAGCTTGAGAACTTCTGAGCTACAGGTCTTATTACATTTTTATAAATCCCCGTTTGGTTCTCTCTGGTTGCTAGACTTGGGGGAAAAAAAGAAAGAAAACACAACCTTTAAAACCTAAATGGGTTTTGGGTGAGCAGAGGACAGGGAAATATATTCTACTTCAAAAGTAATTTGGGGAAAGAGGAAAGCAACAGAGACCAATGGGGGTAAAATAGGGAGTGAAATTAGGTAATACAAACATTAAAGAAAGCATAAAAATGTTTGATGGTTATGTATTTTATGATATTTGTTTTAGAAAAACACACACCACTATGTATCCAACCCATACTTTTACATTACTTGGCAGACAAGGCTAAATTTAAAAGAAAGCAAGATACTTTAAAGAAAAATGCTGTTAATAGTAGTACAGGTAGCCAGATAAGACCAGAACTGTGAAGGTGACATTCAAATGATGCATTCAGGAGACTCTTACTGTGAAGCAGATATTTTCACTATAAGACATCAGTTCTACCTTTCTTCAGTTTTGTCCAATTTCCAAGCATTCATATGGAACTCACATTTTATTTATTTTTTGAAACTTTATATTTTACATATGCTTTAACACAGATGAATTTTTCCATAAGTCCTACAGGTAGACAATGCTTTGCTCCTATTTTACAGCTGTGGTAACTGAGCTTCACAGAGGTTCTATAACTGGAATTCAGCTATGATCTTTCTATAGAATAAACTATACAGACAAATGAATAGTGAATATTTACTGAGAGTTACTACAAATCACACTTTTCTAAGAACAACAAAAGTTCCTTGCTCACATGGAGCTGACATTTAGAAAACGTTCTTTTGGGTTCAAATGAAGGATTGATTCCAAGTCCAGTGCTTTTTCTAACCTCTATATTTAACTGTGGTTTCTGGAAAGAGCAAGAGCTACTATGTAAACATTTTAAAATTCATCAAATTGCACACCCAAAAGAGTGGTGTTCACTTAGTGTAAGTTATATGTCATTATGTAAGTCATAAGTAATTTATTATGCAAATATATGTAAAATAGCTGTAAGGAATGGGTGATTGTATTTTAAAGAGGCTGCAGAAAGCAAAGCGAACTTCTGTCTCACAAGAGTCTTAAATCTCTCACCCCACCTTCTAGAAGAAGGAACAAGAATGGGCAAATATAACTTAAGAGTTGGGTACAGCAGAAACTTAATTACCAGAACCTGACTGTGATCTTGGCTACACTCCAAGTTTAGGAGACAGCAAAGTGAACTACTTTTAGAGGACAGAGCAAGAAATCAAAGATGCCATCTGGGAACAGGTAGAAGGGAATCATTGCTCCAGCATATGCTGACTGTAGTGGTGAATTCTACAGGCTCTGGAGGGCAGTCTGCTCCTTAAGTGTGAAAATTAATATACAGACACCCTACCTAAATGAAGTCAGGAGGCTAGAAGAATTCCCACACATGGGTAGTCAGTAGACTATAGCACCCAACATGACTTGTGTCTCTGACAGGAAGTAGCACTTTTCTATCCCAGCACCAGGAAGAAAGAGGCTCTTTTGCACAGCAAGACTCCATTAAAAGTCATATAAGGGGATGCGGCTTTTATTCTGGGAAAGTGTATGTGTGTCTTGCCATGAGATTGCACTTTCCAAATTTTACTATTTCATTAGTAAAATAACTGTTGCTTTTTGTTTGCAGTCAACAAAAGTTATCACAACTTCTATATTTGCACACTTTCCCAAGGTTGTCCTGGACAAAGCTAAGTCCCCAGAGTCCTGATGAAATAATAAAGTGTGTGTGCACACTTTAGAGTCAGGAAGACCTGACCTTGGTCCTGGTTCTGTCACACTGTAGCTAATAGTGACTTCTAACTTAAAGTTAGTGTGAGGACTAAATGTGATCATGTATGGCAAGGGTGGACCATCATGCCTAGCTTTCTTAAAGTAAGTGCTCAATAAGCTATAATTGAAACAAAAGAGGGATCAAAAAATCCAATTCTCCTCATATCACAGTCTCCACTGACCCCTCCAGATTTGGGTGGCTTCCAAAAACTTTACTAATATTGGGTTTTCTTGGCATTCCTTCACGCAGAGACTGTAAGTGTCTAATGCCAGTGAGGCACTTTACTTGGTTGTTTTGCCAATATTTTTTTAATTGTAAAAATTGTTTATCTATGTGACTACACAATATATTTCATTCTGGGACTTGGAGTATAGGTTAAATAGATGTCCCAACTAGATTTTCAATTACTCAGTCTTCTCTTATTTAATTAACTTATTAATTCAGCATCTTGCTCCTCTGAGCAGGGGCAGTGTCTCTTGTATTTGGCAATTTTGCGTCTTAGAAATCTAAGTCCTCCAAAGACATGGCCAGCATTTCTGTAGAGCTCTTAGGAATCCATCCTGCTAACATGGGGATTTGGCAACCCCATGTTGCGTGGATTGTACATTTGCAACTGTGGGTTTGCTCTGAGGGACTGTGAACATGGAAAACTTAACAGAACACTAATTGGTGGGACAACATACCATGGGTGGTTATAGACATGGATGTCCTTTGGAAATCACAGAGAAGCTGGGCCTGGCTGGAGTGCAGGATCTGGGCAAGAGAGGGTGAGGAATGAAGCCAGCAAAGTAGGCAGTAATTTGGCTTTGGTGAGGAGATTAGAGTATTCTCAGGCTCATGGAGACTCACTGAAAGATTTACTTTAAGGAGTGGTGTGATGTGGTCAGATTTGCATTTTTTAAGATTGCTTTGCTATTAGTATAGTGCTTCTAGAACTTTATTATGCAAGAGAATTGCCTTGGAATCTTGCTAAATACCACTTCTGACTCAGTAGGTTTGGACTGAGGCCTGAAATGCTGCATTTCTAATAAACTTCCAGGTGATACAGATGCCACTGTCTGCGGACAACACTTTGATTACCAAGTTGAGTATCAGAATCACCTGGAGGTGTTGTTAACTCAGACTGTAGCCCCCCACCCCTGTCCGCCCCCGCCACTCTAAAGTTTCTGATTCAGTTGCTCTGACTGGGAGTCTAACGAGTCCCTAGGTGATACTGGTGCTGATGGTCTGGAGGCTGAGGAAACCAAGCAAAGAATTGATGGAATGAGGGTAAAACTAAGGGAGGACTACAGTCAGGAGGCTATAGCAGTAGCCTTGGCATGACATGACATGGCACTGGGAATGGGAAAGAGAGGGGAGATTTCAGCGCCAGATGACATGTTGAGGACATTGTAATGACCAACTACAAGAAGGAGCAGGAGGGCTGGAATGGCCCCAGGGCTACTGGCTGAGTGACACAGGCTAGAGGCTCACCCACTGAGACAGTGGATGCAGCAGGAGCAAGCTTGGGGCAGACAATGATGCTGGGTTCAGCTATAGACATGCTGGGTGTGCTGATGAAGGCTGGAACCAAACTGGTTCATACCAATTTGCTGTTTATTTTTTTTTAATTTTTTTAAAGATTTATTTTTATTTATTTATTTGTTTGTTTGTTTATACAAGCACTGGGTACAGTCAGAAGCGCAGGAGGATGAGAGAATTCACCAGAGTCAGAGCGGGGAGCAGAGCAGGCAGAAGGACCGAAGGACACTGCTGAGGGGAGCAGCGGGCGGCAGGAGAGGTCTGAGGGCCATGTGGGACCCTCACCCAGTGGCCAGGGATCAAACCGGAGCTGCAGAGGCTGCGGGCAGCTTCTCAACCCAGCGCTCAACCACTGCGCCACCAGGGAGGCCCCAATTTGCTGTTTAATATGTCTCCATGTACCTCATTCTCTTTAACCATGAGATGAGACTCTTAACTTTTGCCTACCTAGGGATGAAGCAAGGATTGCAATAATGGATGTAGTAAGTGTCTAAAAAGAAAGACATCTTATCAGAATGTGTAAGCTTCTGTCTTTTTCTCCCAGCAATCCAAAATGACAATGTGCTTATTATATTCCAACAGGTAAATTATCAACAGGAACCCTAAGTTATTTGCTATTCTTCCTGAAGTTTATTTGATGATATTTTTAAAAATACTTGAAATATTCATTTTGCTTAAAAATTACATGACTAGGGCCTCCCCGGTGGCACAGTGGTTGAGCGCTGGGTTGCAAAGCTGCCCGCAGCCTCTGCAGCTACGGTTCGATCCCTGGCCACAGGGTGAGGGTCCCACATGGCGCGCAGACCTCTCCTGCCGCCCGCTGCTCCTCTCAGCAGTGTACTTCCTCAGTCTGCCTGCTCTGACGCTGGTGAATTCTCTCACCTTCCCGCGCTTCTGACTGAACCCAGTGCTTGTATAAATAAATAAATAAATCTTTAAAAAAAAATTACATGACTCACCTGGGCTTGTAATCAAGCTTTCATCAGGCAACAATGTTATGAAGTCACCGTCATCATTTCTTGGGATGTTTTGAAGGGTTTTCTTGGCTTTATTTTCCCTGGGTTTTTGTTTATTAGTCCTAGACTCCTTATGAAGACTTTTCTTTGACTCCACTTGGGCCTGAAAAAATCAGTTATAAATGGTTAATGTTTTCCCCGAGTGATTTTCACCAGAATCAGTCACCTGATCAGCCACTTTGCAAGTTGTGTACTTATCGGTGGACATCAGAACATGGGTTTCTTGTTCATATTAGATGGTGTGTAAACTTTCTTTATGCACAGACTTGTTGGGAGAAAGGAGAATTGGCCCCTGTCTCAAAAAGATATGGCAACATTAAGATGAGGAGCTTTGTAAAAACATTTCTTTGTAGGGCCTCCCTGGTGGCGCAAGGGGTTAAGTCTTAGCACTATGACGCTATCAGCAGCCACTACAGCACAAGTTTAATCCCTGGCCAGGGAGGTGACCCTCATGCCCAGCAGACCTCTCCTGCCTCACCCGCCGCTCCCCTCAGCAGTGTATTTCAGTCAATCGGCCTGTTCTGCTCCCCACTCTCTTTGGTGAATCCTCTCACACATACCTCAAACCCCCAATGGCCTACACTCCAGCTCTTGTATGCATAAAATAAATCTTTGAAAAGGAAAAAAATATTTCTTGGTAGTTCTCCCTAGGCTAGCTGACATTTGGAATTTCAGCGGACAGTGACTTTAGGCTTATTTACTAGAGTGAGGAATTTGGGTTAGGACAGTTACAGGAGACATTACTGTAAAGTGGCTGCACAAGGGATCTTTCTTGTAAGATAATTCTATGACAGTAATGGTAAAGAAATGCATAGATATAATAGTAAAGATGAACTCATCCCTCACTCTTTCCCTAGACCAAGAAAAATGATCTAACACTACTTTTCTGCTGGAAGCAGAATGTCTTAGGAGAAAACTGTTTAAAAAAAGAAAAAAAGAGACTTGAAACACAGAAACACCCTTGAGAGGACTGAGAAGAGACAAGACTCAACAGGACTGGAAGCTGGAGGGATCGTGCCGATGCTTCCCCAGTTCCAAGAACCATTTAAAAATGCTAAAAAGACTGGAGATGAACACTTCACTATATTTATGTGCCAAAACAGTGACTGTGGAGTAAATTTGGTAAATATTCTTCCCTCCTATTTACCTCTTGTCTTTTACGGTTCATTTCCAGCATTTGCATCTTATGTAAATATTGTCTTTTCCCAGAAGTATACATTGGAGTTTGCACCTTCTTTTCCAGGCCCTGCTGTGAAAGATGACAAACTCGTCAGTGTGGGATAATTTGTTATTGACTCAGCAGTTCACACTTGAAATCCTTTTGGACAGAGTGAGATCTTAATCAATCCTCAATCATCATCCACCAAGGTCTCTGCAGGATCAAGGCGGGCACAGGTGTTCTCGGTCAGTGCCTCGCAGCTGTTAGTGCCTGGAGCGAGCAGCGCTTTGCTGTGACTGCCAAGTGTGCTTCTTCAGGCTCCTGTGGCTTCCTCAGACCTTGAATGGAAATCTCTTTCCACATCTCACTTTGACCACACAGAGCTTCCTCTTATTACTATTTCTCCAAAATGTATTCTGGATTGCCAGTAACAAACTGCAGGGCTGTGGAATTTGAGGGGAGTCACTGAATAGTTCAGTGGAGCCTATTTTTATAGTGCATACTTCCTCATACCAATATAAGCCCTGCTATAGGATGGATGTAAAGTCAATTATTTGGCATTTTGGTGATCTCCCCCTGGGTCATCATAGATACCAGTGGAATCACACAGGCATCCAGGGGCAAATATACCCTCCCTTGTCACTTGCTGAGACCAGGAGGAGGAAGGGATGCAGCAGCCGAGAGAGTGGGGTGATTTCCGTTATCCTGCCGATGGTGACTGTATTCACTGATGGGAGCGGCAGGAAGGGGTCCATCTGCCAGCATCATGAACAGGGTGGCTTTGAGGATTTGAATGTATCTGGCCATCTTTCACCACCTCAGCCAGTCACCCAGTTGAAAATCTATTCCTACTTTAGGTTTCAAGTCTACATGGGGAGTGTTTTCTCAGCGGTGTGACAAGTATGTAAAAGGAAAAATCTCTATAGCAGTCCCTCCCCAGGATTACTTTTTGGTGTGGTTATGGTAAGTTATGCACAGCTAGTAGATATGACTTCCCTTGAGAAGTGTGAATGGAAAGAGTTTTAAACTGTGGGGAAGAATGAAAAGCGAGAGTTTCGCAGGATTTTTCACAAATTTGAAAACTTCTAGAATCACCAATGTGCAAGTAAAATTCCTCTCTCTTATCTACAGTTTCCTGTTTTCACCAGGAAGCAAAGAAGGGTCCACAGGCAGGAGTAATGGCCAGCTGGAGGCAGACCCAGTCGAGAATGGGTAGCTTTGGAAAGTGCGGTCCTGAATGACTGCATAGTTTGGTTTGTCTTTGAAGTCAGTGCAGAGAGTGCATGGGAAGGACCACTTGCCCCAACCCTGTGTGGCCAGCACACCCCCACCCCCCACTCCCCCACCCACACAGTCATGATTAGTGCAGTTCACCTTTGCTTTGTGAGTTCTCTCAGCTTCTTGCTGGCTCAGGTGTCTTTCAGAAGTAATTACTGGTGGCAGGTCAAGGGGTTCAAGCTTCTGGAAGTCCAACATTAAGAACATTCAGCATTCTTCATGTCATGAGATGATGAAACCCAAAAGCCAGACAATAAACTATCTTAACACTTTGCAAAAGCAGCACTTATTCCTGAGAACACACAGGAAAGGTGATTTCAACAGTTTTATAATCATTTCTGTGCAAAAGGTTTTTCAACCTACTTGAGGTTCATTATTGAGCTAGTGCAACTGTTGACAGTGGCTTATTGACCTAAATACTGGTTAAAAGATGGTCTGCATCGAGGGACCATGTCCAAAGTTATCAAATTGTGAGGGTCTTAGAATATTAGAGATGAAAGAGGCAATGAGAAGGTACTTCATTTTATTCATCCCTTAAACACCCAGCTGCACCACTCTGGTCCTTAGGGAAGTGACCTATTTTTAAGATCTCCAGAGAAACTTCTTCAGCCTCCTCAGTAATAATCACTGGTGCTTATGAGGCACATTTAAAATGAAAGTACAATGTACAAACAAATCTTGGACATGACTTTTTCTAGCAAGGACCTGTCTTTGTGGAAAGATCATGTTGGAGCTTCAAGGGGTCAATAAGCCTGGGCAGCAGTTGATGAACCAGTAGATCTGCTTCCAGTCGTACTTGCCTCAGATGACTTAGTGCTCTGAAAGCTGGAGCTCTGGGAAGTTACTGACCAGGTCTGGTAGACCATGTCTGGTCTTTTCACTCTGACAGAAGGTGAGAGACTGCTAGGAGGTCACAGTGTCTTCATTTGTTCAGTCAGTGAGTGTTTACTGAATGGCTGCTCTGTGCCAGGCATAGAGGTGCAATGATCAACAAAAATGGCTTGGTCCCTAAGGAACTTACAGTCTGTGGGGGCATAGCTAGACTTCTGCTTGTGTGATTGTTTTATTAATCATCACACAAACTGTGATCACTGTTTTGAAGAAAGTCTGCAGGGAAGACAGTATATAATTGGAGGACTCCCCTTGGCTATGGGAGATGTTATTGTATTTTGTCTCCACCTAATTCATATGGTGAACTCATTTTATTTTCTTACATTGTTGTTCATTTTTGTACAATATTTGATTTCTCCCCTCAGGTGTAGTCCCCATGTCTCCTATTACCATCCCGTGAACCATCCACATACGGTGAACTTTTAACCTCTGTACCTCAGTCTGTGACCTTACTTGGAAATAAGAGTGCTTACAGAAGGACCCTTAATCCAGTATGTCTGATGTCCCCATAAAAAGGGGAAATTTGGACACAGTCATGCACATAGGGAGAACAATGTGTGAAGATGAAAGCTGAGATTAGGGTAATGCTTGTAACAAGTCAAGGAACTTCAGAAATTACCAGCAAATCTCCAGAACCCAAGAAAGAGGCATCAATAGAAACCAACTCTGTCAGCACCTTGACCATGGGCTTTTTGCTTCCAGAACTGTGAGACAATACATTTCTCTTAAGTCACCTAGTTTAATGTGCTGGAAAACATAACAGGGAAGGGGTAAGGGGACAGTTCATAAAAGTTTTCTGAAAAAGTAATTTTTTTCAGCAGAACTTGAAAAGTTGAGCAATTTTAGGGACTAAGGTGTTCCAGGTAGGGGGAACACCATAAACAATAGTCCTGAGGTGGGAGAGAATAAGGTATGTTACAGGTACTGCAAAAAGTCAGTTAGTTGAATTTCAGAGATGAAGAAAACTCAAAATGAGGTGGGAAGGTAGAGGTCAGCTCACGCAGGAACTTTCTAAAGGCACTGGTCTTCCCAACAGTAATAGGCAGCCATTGACATGTCCAGCAAATCAGTAACACAATGACATTTGATTAAAAAGAAAGATATTTGAAATCTCAGAAAACATGGAGGCTATAAAAACAAGAACCACCTCACCTTTTATTACCTTAGAATAAATATCTTTCAGTCAGATCATCTCTATTCTTCTTACTTTATTTTGCCCTTCACAGAGAGTTTACAAAATAAAAACAGGGACTGGGTCAGGGACACCTGGAGAGGAACAAGTAGGAGGAGCTGGCACTGAATCCCCATTTTTGTCTTTTACATTTTAAACCATGTGACTATGTCCCCAACTGAAATAAATATACATTAAAAATAAAAAAGAAAGAAAGCTAATTCCAGCTGCAGTGTGGAAATTAGACTACAGAAAAGCAATTTTGAATGTGGAGAGAGCAGTTAGGAGCACAGAGATAACAGACTGGGGCTCATGGAGGGACACTGATGGAATCCACAAATATTGAAGTTCTCTCTCTAGAGAACTGTTTTCCTTCTGGCCTTTGTTAGGAGCTGGGAATCACTATTCCTCCAAAAGGAAAAAAATGAAAAAAGCACTAGATGGCAGCAACTAGCACTACAAAAAGATCCCTCAGCTAAATCATTTGCACTTAGCCTGAGAAGCACTGCAGAAAAAATAAAAACTGTTAGAAAATAGGATTCTTTAAAAAAAAAAACCCATTAAATGAAATTGCCTCAGATTTCTGGGTTCACATCAATGTTCCTTTTCCCCATGTGGGAAGCAAGATGCCTCAGTTCATTATCTCAGAGACAAAATGGAAAGGATTACTGGAAAATTGGTAGAATGACACCTTTTTTCATTTCATGTTATAAAAAATATATTATTTGTGTAAAGCATTTTGAGTTATTTGACATTTCAAATGAAACAAATGGCAGGATAATCAGAGGAAGTGTCAGGAGATTGAGGAAAAGAGATTATCCAGTTTAACTCAGGAGCTTGGTGATCCACACCAACCTGAGGTAGTAGTGTTTGCCTCCTAGCAGGCAGACAATGGTGGGCAGGAGCAACTTAGAGAAATTGTAAAATTTGATGGCACTATGACTTAAGAGTATGTCCTTTAAAGTTCTGGGAGGGAAGTAGAAATGTTGACAGCCTTGGACAAAGAACTCATAAGCCGTCAAGGAATTTCTGGTCAAGGTATTGCAAAGGGATCATATTTCAATAATATTTTTTGTTCCAAACCTCTAACAATGAAAGCTAAAATGCAAGACAATGTCACACTTTAATAAAGATAAACAACTCCATGAGCCAGAAAACAGAATATGCAAGCAGACTTGGAGGAAGCTAATCCAGAAGGCACTTAGCACTGCTAATAGTCTGGTGGTCTCTATAGGTTGAAGAATACCTAAAAATATTCCATATAAATGGGAAACTAGAGCCAGGTCCACAGCTTGAAATAAGAGGATGGGTTGTTCTCCTTCTTTCTACCTGTATAAAAGAGCTGCATCAAAATCTAAGCTAGGAAATTGGTTTTAGAGTCATTACAAAAATATTGAATATGAAGAAGCTAAGACTTTCTAACAATAAATTCTGAAGGTTAAATGGACAATTTTCTGAAAAATAATAAATAAAATGAACCAAATTTAATCAGGAAAAATAAGATATCTAAATCAACTAAGAGACAACAAATAAATCAAATTAGCAGGAAAATGTATCACTTCCACAAAGATAGTTTCATAGGCCTGTTTTATGAAACTTTTAAGAAATAGGTAATTACTCTGTTACAGTGTTGAATAGAAAAGAGAGAAAGATAAATAAGTCATTTCATAAAAATTAGAACACCCTTGAGAGCAAAACTAGAAAAAGATGGTAGAGAAATACTACAGAACAACTTCACTTATGAAAAGTAGATACAAAAGCCTAAGCATATTCACCAAAGTGCTTAAGTATGTACCTCATGACCAAGTAGGATTTATGCCAGGCAGGGAAACATGGTTTGACATCATAAAGTCTATTAGTGTAATGCATTGTATTAACTGATTAAAAAGAAAATCCATAATCAATAAAATTTGACACTTGCCCTTAGAAAAACTCTCAGCACACTTGGAAATAAAGGGACTGTCCATAATTTAACACATGGTGTTGTGACAGCTATCTTCAGCTTATTTCTTTTTTTTTTTTTTTTTATTCATTTATTTGTTTGTTTTGTTTATACATGCACTGGGTACAGTCAGAAGCGCGGGAGGGAGGGTGAGAGAATTCACCAGAGCCAGAGCGGGGAGCAGAGCAGGCAGAAGGACCGAAGTACACTGCTGAGGGGAGCAGCGGGCGGCAGGAGAGGTCTGCGCGCCATGTGGGACCCTCTATTGGTGGCCGGGGAGCAGCCGGGGATCGAACCGGCGCCGCAGAGGCCGCGGGCAGCTTCGCAACCCAGCGCTCAACCGCTGCGCCACCGGGGAGGCCCAATCATCAGCTTATTTCTCAGAGCCACTTATCACATTTCTCTACCCTGTTCTCTGCCTCTAAGGACTAAACAGTTTCTCCTACTTCTGGCTTCGCATTGGGTCAGCCACTAAGAATTCCTGGCAGGAATCTGAGAGAGGAAAGAGAATCAGGTCAACAAGTTGCCTCCTCCCTGCAAGGTCACACTGGGTTTGTTGTATCCCACTAATGCTCTCAAAGCAGCTTCCTCTACCTGACTCTTTTCTTTCAGATTCTAGAAGTATCTCCCTCTTTAAATTAAGGGTGCCCAATATCATTGCTTGTATTCAATATTTCAAAGGAAATTCTAGCCAATGCAAGAGTCAAGAAAATAAACAAAGCAACAAAATTGAGTAGAGAAAAAAGCATTTTTCTTTATAAAAGATTTTGTCTGTGGTGAAAGACTAAAATTAATAGATAGTTAGAATTACCAAAGCATTTCAACACTGCTATGGAACACAAAATTCAACATGCAAAAATCAATAGCTATTTAATTTCCCAATAATAATCACTTAGAAAATTAAATGGCAAAAAAATCTCATTCATAAAAGGATGAAAAAAAAAAAAAACCCGTAAGATATTTTGATAATCAGTTTTATGTGTCAAGTTGGGTAGGCTACAGTCTCCAATTATCCAAACACTAATCAAGATGTTGCTGTGAAATTATTTTGTAAAATCAGTTGGCTTTAAGTCAGGAAGATTATTTTAGATACTCTCTTCAGCCCTGATTCAATCAATTGAAAAGACTAGAGAGCAGAGTTGAACTTCCCTGAAGAAAAGGAAATTCCACTTGTGGATG